GTGCGGAATGATGGATAATTGCAGAATTAGAAACTTACGCGACTTTTAAAGCGTCAAAATAAATTATGCGTGAGCTTTGCGTAAGTTGCTAATTACACATGTAGATGGCGTGAGTTTTTTTCTAGAGTTCGATCTGTAGAGGGCAATAATTCTAGTGTTATGTACCAAGTAACTTAAACTACTGTGTTGTTTCTAGATATACACAAGAGCTTCGCGCTGTTTAACGGCCTGTTACGAAGAAGCCTTGACTATGTTTTCCCGTTGGAATTATACTGTTAGAGCAAACAAAAAAAAAATAAGGCATTTGAAGTGTTTTTCTGTTTTTAAATGTATGGTATCGTATTTTTATAAAGAGAGCTCCTTGGGTACATTTCGGTGAATGAGAAGATGGGACGAAATGGACCGATATGGAGTTCACAAAAAAAATATATTAAAACAATCAAACACGTTGGTTTTTACGCCCGACTACTATTACTAATATTATTAATTAATAATTGTACCTTACAGATATATCCTCTATACTCTGCTTAACCAATTTATGAGAAAAGTTGTTGCATTTTAGTTTACCATCCGAATGTCTGTCGTGCAAATGTTGTGCGACGTGCGTGCGAAGACGGCCGTGCGTGATCGCTGTTTTTAATTATTCTTATTACCATTATTCATAATTATGAAGGTAACATCGTCTTTTACTGTCTGGCGGTACGGTTTTTCGGTCGTTTATGCGTGCGCACGCGCACATAATGCGTTGTACTTGCGCGTATACAGCGAATGTTTACACGTAGTGATTTACCCGTATTGTATTGATTTGTTATATTTACCCTCTCGTCTACGGCAGTTTTACCGGTTTTAAATGTGGCCAAAATTAAGGCACCGTCAAATCGTGTTTACACATTTACCCGAGATATAGTAAAATATTGTAATATGTATTTGAAATTTTCTACCGTATATCGACTTTTGTTCTACAAATGTGGTTATTCAGGGTTTCGTGCAGACTTTAGCTGCTTATTTTTGGATGATGTTTAATTTATTTAAAATGTACTGAGGTTGTTTAATTTGTGTTATTTGGTTTTTCGAATAAATATTAAAAAAGTACACTTCTTTTTACTAATACTTAATATCTATAAGTATAGAGATATAACTGCTTCCATTTTTTCCATATGCTTTAATTTTTTTAAATTCTTTCTTCTCTTTCCTAATGTTTTATCTTGGCTCCTCTTTTTGCCTCTTGTTTTGTGGCTCCCTCTTTGTACTTCCTTATCAAGCTATTTGTTTCCCTTCTTACTGCTCGTTACCTTTCGAAATCTTTATATTTTTGTTGTTTTTGCAGTGAGTTCCCCTTCTCTCTATCCTTGTTTCCTCGTTTTTTTTTATTTTTTTCAGAAGTTCTTTATTCCTCGTTTTTATAGACGTTTATTCTCCTTTGGTGGTCGAACAGTTATTACATTACCATGTGGTGTTATAGGATATTAAACATACCATGCAAAGAAATGGTTAGAAGTGAGGTATTAGAAAGAGTAGGAGAATAGAGAGTATTACGGAATTCAAAGAGAAAAAGGCAAGGTAGGTGGGTAAGATACCTTCTCAGATATGAAGGGCTAGTTAAAGGCATAATAGAAGCAGAAGAGTTAAAGGGACACCTGTAGACCTAGATTAGATTGCTGTTTGCAAATAAAGATGTAGTTTCTTTCGTTTTCGAGAAATGTGAAGATTGGCTCAGGGTAGGAAGAAGTGGATGTATGTGTCCAACTAGTTGTCAGGCTGAAGTCCCTTTTTGATGATGATTAACAGGTTAATGTGTTTTATTCTGCTATGTATATGTAGCCCAATTTTTAAATTAGTTCATCCTGCTATTTAAATTAGTAATATTATTCATACCTATTGATTACTTAGGTATTTAAAGTTTGTTTCCTAGTAATTAGTCATGGAAAGTGAAGAGATCACTTACTGGTATTAGTTAATGGTGAATTAGAATGAACACAACTGATAAAATTTACATGCTATTTATAGAACGAAAGTGAACGCAACTTTTTGTTCTTAAAAACATATTGCAGAATAAAAACGTAGGTTAGAAGAACGAAGAATTTTTTTGGTAAAAACGGTAAGAAAAAACTTTGATAATATAATCACATTTTATTAGAACATTTAACCTGTATCATTCACACATATCCTTTTAATATTTCGACATTATTTCGTTCCTGAATTTATTACATAAAAGTAACAATGCCTGAGAATTATTACTGGTACTTCTTCTACTTTAATAGATTGCCTTAAAATATTTATTGTTTGGTTGTTAAAGTGTTTCGTTAAATAATGTGCTTCTATTTTTTCAGTTATGACAATTTTTTCTATAAACTAACTAATATGGAATCTCCAAGAAAAAACAATGATTGCTATTTTTATTATTACTCAACATGTACAAAGGTGTGTATTATTCACTTTGTTTTTAAAATACGATTTAACAGTAATTTTGAACTTGTAGGGAGATAACTGCACATTTAGACATGAACCATCTGCTTTAGGCTGTGAAACAGTATGTTCGTTTTGGAAAGAAGGGAAGTGTCTTAATGTTCACTGTAGTTTTCGTCACATGGAACTTCGGGTAAGTATTTTATAACTTGTCTTACTTGACCACAAACAATTTGCTTTTATTTTACATAAAGAAAAATCGAAAAACCATTCCTTGTTATTGGGAGAATCAACCAGGGGGCTGTTTGAAGCCTCATTGTCCTTTTATGCATAAAAACCCAAAAGACTCAACTGGATTAGTGAATATAGTTAAATCTTCAGAAACAAAATCGGGTGATTTGAATGGTAAGTGAGAAATAAACATTATCACATTCTAATTCATTAATTGAGCAAAACAGAAACTGTAGCTGCGGTAACATAACAAGTAGAAAGATGTTTCTTCTTTCTTACTAAAGTCTAAAATTTCAATGTTAAAACACACCTTATGCAGGTGCTTGAAGGAAAAGGATTTGAAATTGGATGTTTATGACCTTTATAATGATTTTATTTCCAAAAGGATGTGGTTCTTTGTTTCATTCAATTCCTTTTATTGATTTTAAATCTTCTGGTTGCTTTGGGTGTATTAAGTAAAAAATACGATTTTTGAGTTTGCTGTATCTGAAATGGGCTGTGAGAATTGATCTGTTTGTGTGTCCCATATGACTATTTTAATCTTAGAATTTAATTTTGCAAATCCTTTTTTATAAAGTTATTGAATATGTTGTATCCTTAAAAAAACAACTTGTCAAAAGATATATTGCTCATAAATTATTATGGTTTAGATTAAGATTAAGATACTTTCTGTTGGTTATATTTACTTAATTATCTGATTTTGTAATTCCAGCAACTGGCTCACAATCGTCAGACACAGAAAAAATGCGGAACCAATGTGGCGAACCTAACTATAGTCGTTCAACAGTTGACCCACTTGTTGTAAAATTTGAAGAAGGTATGAAGCTTTTCAATTAGTTGCCTGCGTGCTGTGTTTGGAAATTACAATAATTAATTAGTCGAAAAGAATATTATTTAATATGAGAGTGTGTTTTGTTGCTGTGCATTTTATATTTTTCTTTTTTGTTTCTTCTTTTTTAAATAATTGTTAAATGGACTACTACATCATGATTATTAATAGTTACTAATAGACCATTTGTTGTGCTGTTGTAGTATCCACTCTGTGTGGCGTTATTATTTATCAGAAATATTTTGGTATGTTAAACTTTTATTTTTTGGCAATTATAATACTTTTTTGTCTTCCCATGCAGATTGACTGCGTCATGATGAGAATACTTGTGATTTTATGGAATATTGTGAATGATGATAGCTAATTTTGATTTTACATGTATTTAAATGCAGGGTGGACATAAATAATGGTACACAAGCAGTAAAGAACATTGAGGTGAAAATATTACATATTTAGTTTGTTATACCTACGAAAATTGTCCAGAAGTGCCAAAGTGGTATTTTTGGTTTATATTTTGTTTTCAATTTTTTACGTTACATTGTTTTTTAAATAATATAAATTACTAGAGAAATAACTTCAGTACCCAAATTTATGCTTACCCTGTATGGAATATGTTCCTTATAGTTTACAAGTACAGATTTTTTTAATTAAAAAGCAATGTGTTTGAAAAAGCATATATCATTTGTTTTTTTATTATTAATGCTTTTAAGTTAATTACAAAAGTGAGCTTTAAACTCGATTAACAGCTCTATAGATTTCCTTATGATTACTTAAATAACTTTTTACTAGGTAATAATTGAATGAATTAGTTTAAAATTTAAGTATAAATACATATTTGGACTATAAACAAAAAAATCTTCTGCGAATGTTATGTTTCGTTTGGTTTATTAAAAAAATTACCTATAGTTTCTAGTCAATCACTAATTTTTTTTTTAATAGTCAGTAATATTTAGTTTTTTTTTCAACTACTTTTTATTGAATTAGTTTTCATTAGTTTGTTTTATATATATGGTATCTGGTGTTGGTGGAATTGCTTTTACTTTTTGTTTTTGTAGATCTATTTATAAAATAACATAATATAGGGTGAAAAATTATTATTTATTACTATTACGATAAAAGACTTCAAAATTTTTATTGCCATACGCTTCTTTTTGTACTTAACACTAATTTAAAGACGAAGGAGAATGATGTGCAGCTATAATATTATTATGCGATAAAGTTATTTTATGTTATTTATTTACCTTCTGATTCATTCTTTTTTATATGTTATATAAAGTTGTTAAAGACTTTTGTCTCGAGGAACTTACTGAAAGTTTTTAAATGATTTTTTTGACGTTTTTAAGAATTCAATAATTTTGATGATAATTTTAATTAATTATTAAAGCAATTGAAGGTAACTCAGCGTTCGATCAAGGCTGTAATATGTATTGAAAAGACTATCGAATATCAGCGACAATGTTAATGCTATGAATTGTACTGCATATTTTCATTAGCGATATAACT